GATAAGGAAAACTTCATCATTACCGACACTCCACACCTTTTCATGAATTATTGGTTTACTTGCGTTTTGTTGGTTTTCCCAGACTGTTAGGAATGAGTAAAGATTTTTTCATATACCATGATGCATTCTAGAAATTTATTTAGATCTTTGTAGATTCTGTTTAAATATATAATACTTAAAATTCAGCAGAGCATGTCATCTACAGATTATTTCGCTTTAAACCAAAACTTATAATAAATTGTGTTGAAAATTGATTTGAAATAAAGGTTGTTTAGAACCATTTTTTTTTATTCATGTAATCAATAGTTATGCAGGAGTGTGTTAACAAATAAAAGCTATTTTGAATCATATAGAAATTCATAAAAACAGCTTAAGGTTTCATTACTTGAGTTTCTGAAAGTAGATTTGAAGTTTTTTCTTGAAAAAAATACTAGAAAAAAGTCAGTAATCAATCTATTTGTGTTGAAGGGATAACATCAACAATGAAGGTATACTATAGTCTATTGCTCAGCGCTCCTATAAAGTATTTATTGAAACCATGTATCAATGAAAGCAAAACTTGGGTTTTTTTCCACGATAGCAAAAGAAAAAAAATTGTTCCATCCCATTTGATTCAAAGCTTCAGTATATAAGTAAGTATCGTTGAGATTGCTATTTTAGAAGATAACAATTGAAAAAATGACAAATAACGATAAAAAAATAGTTCCCGTTGGCGGATCGGTGGTTCCTGATGGTGGATGGGGATGGTTAATTGTCTTTTCATCATTCATGATCCATTTCGTTATGGACGGGTAAGTGAAATTTTCTGTCATATCTTCTTTAACTTAGTATGGAAAATAGGATAACGTATTCGATGGGTCAAGTGTTCTTAGAACCGATGAGGAAGGAACTTTCTCTCGATCGAGCTTCGGTATCAACTATATTTGGTATTTTACCAGCTGTCACTCTCGGCGCAGGTCAGATATTATTGTTCTAAGTTGAACATTGTTTTTCAACAATTATGTTTTTGTTTTTTTTTTATTTAGGGCCAATTGCAACCGTCCTCACCAATATGTACGGATGCCGTGCGGTGGCTATAGCGGGTACTTGCATCGCCTCTTTCGGTTTTTTTCTCAGTCGACTATGGATCAACATCTGGTTTTACTATATTACGATTGGCGTCGTCGGAGGTATGTTCTTTAATAAATAGAATCGATATCGGTACTTAGTCAATAGAACCGGTTTAGTTGAAATCTTTCGAGATGTCTTTGTCTTATCAACCAAAAATGTATTGTTCCAAACCTGTTCGTTTCATTCATGTTTCGATATTTTCAGGTATAGGTTTTGCATTAATGTATTTGCCTGCCATTGTCTCAGTCGGTTTGTATTTCGAACAAAAACGTGCATTTGCCATGGGCATCGCTGTATGTGGTTCAGGCGTGGGTACATTTGTACTTTCCTATATCATGGATAACATCGTCAATATATTCTCATGGCTTGACTATAAGAACGCATTAGTTGTCGAAGCTGGTATTATCTTGTTTGGCATTCTATGTGGTTCCTTGATGGTAATTGATTTCGTTTTCTTCAATGTAGGGATATCTATTTGAAGGTCTAATGCGATAAGACGTAGCTCGACTAGGAGTGAACGATTCCGTTCCCAAACCATATTTATACTGTCGATTTCGATACAGTTTCAAAAACGATCGAGCCTATCTGAATACAATTCCGATTCTGAGAAACAAACAACTAGAAATCGGAAATATTTTTCAACAAGATAATGCATTTCTTTATATACATTTTGACAAGCAGTCAAAATCAGTCATTTGGAAGTATATGAACAAAATTAGCCAAAAAGGAAAGTACTCTACTTTCATTTGGCTTTAGGTCTCTCTAAGGATTACTTCTTCGAACAGTTTCTTTTATCATCAATAAATGTAAGTGTTTGCTATTTCACTGAACACTTAAATAATTAATTTATTGGCAGTAATTAGCGAATAACTTTCTAATATTAAAACAAAAAAGTTTAAACATTTCAAGATACTCTACACCACCGACTACAGCTACAAAGCAAGACAAAAAGTTTTACTGTAATCTATAATTTCTTAAAATTAATTTATACCATTTCGGACTAGTTTTTGGTTTTATCATTCAGTAACAAGAGCATTTTTCGTTTTGGGTAATTGTACTCAGTCATGTCGCTAGCATTAGTGTTTCAGCAATAACTTTTCTGACTAAAAGTATATAGGGCTGATTTTTGAGAATATCTAGAGTAACTTAACATGTATTTGATATATAAGAACTACTTCTATAAAAAATCATTATCACGAGATATACATATTTTAATCTTGCGAAGTTACTTCATTCATGAATGGGTATGCTCATATATAAGAAATGAATAAGCAATTCCAACTCGGACTTGGAATCAAAGTTGTATCAAAAATATAAGTATCGAGTTTCTTAAATGAAAAGAAATTTCTAAAGACGATAATAATAAATTCTCTATCTAGGTTCCTCTACCACAAGAACCCAGCGAGCAACGACGACTAGAACGAAAAAGACGTGCAGAAGCTAAACAAAAGCAAATCGATCAATCCTTAATTCCGGAGAATGCACCTTTGACATCGAACAATAATGCTTCCGACGGTAAACTTGTCTACAGACCTATTTTACGTTTATTTATATTGTTTTACATATCAATCTCTTTAACAATAGGCGAATCAATGTTGCCAGTTGTTACTATTGATAAAACACCAACCAAATCTTTTTTTCATCAAATCATCGAACAAATCGATCTCAACCTACTGAAAGATGCTGCATTTACACTATTTGCTATATCGAATTTTTTAACAAGTCTCGGTTTCAACGTAGTTTACAATTTTGCTGATGATCTTGCAAATGATTCAAAAGTGATAAAAGATCAACGAACATATATTGTTATGTCAATTGGTTTGTCGAACATTTTCGGTCGTTTTATTATTGGTTACTCCGGTGATCGAAAATGTGTAAGAAAATTTTTCGATATAAAAAATTACATTTAGTAAGATCATTTTTATTTTCTAGGTCAATCGACTTCTCTTATTCATATTAACATTGATTATTTCTGGTGTTGCTACCATGGTAGCTCCATTATGTGGCTCTTCTGTTATTCCTCATATAGGCTATGCGTCTTTTTTTGGCTTCTTTTCAGGTGGTTATGTTGCTCTAACTTCAATTGTTCTTGTTGATATAGTCGGCATTGATAAATTATCGGATGCATTTGGCGTTCTTTTACTTTTTATTGGTATTGCAACTGCTATTGGAACACCAGTTGTCGGTAAGGATTTATTTTAATTTTTCGGTCGTCTTAGTTGCATTTCTTTAAATATGCATTATTTCTAGGAGCGATGCGTGATGCATTTTCTCACTTTGCTCGACCTTTTCTCTGGCCGTATCTTATTTTTGGTGGTTGTACAGTTGTCAGTGGCGTCATGCTATTTGCTATTCCTCTTTTGCAACGAAAGAAGTCAACTAACAATCAAATGCAGACGGATAGTAATACTATCAACTCTGAAAGAGGTCTATCGTCTCAAGAAAATCAGCAAAATATCTAACTGTTTGCATCCAATTTTGTTACCTGCGATCATAAATTTGGATATTGAGCAAATTCTTAAAAAGAAACCATTGAATTCAAATTGCCATTTTTGCTGGTCGTTCAAAGCAATTTTTTCCTTAGCTGTATATAGAGTTAAAATTCAGCTTTAAATATTTTCCTATGTGTTTTTTTATGAAAATAATCAATTATACAAGAGTGCGAGTAAGTGCATGTTTAACTAAGAAAAGGGCAATCAGTTTTAATTCGAATATTTTACTTTACTTTTCGAGTAAACTATGCTCATTTTAATAGGTTAAGTTGCGTAAATTGTTTCATATACTAAATTAACAGAAAAGTATCTATTCTACTAATGCTTGTTGTTTATTGTAACCTTTGATATAAAAAATATATATTGGTATAATTTTGCGTCTATATCTTTCAAAAAAATTTTCGGTACTTGACCTAACACTTTCAAGTGTTTTGAATCGATTAGATGAAGCTTATTATCATCTTTGAAAATGTTCTTAAAGTCATATCGATATTATCTTGGAAATCTCTCAGGGTCACATCCATACCCTCTATCGTATAAAATAGATGTGTGTCTTTGCATTCAATGACAGCGAACAAATGAAAATGAAGCGGAAAATGATTTAACATAGAAAAAAAACTTTTCATGAAAATGGAAAAAATAAAGTTTTTTTTAACCGTTCATTTGTTGCTAAAATCCGTTTATTCTATACATGGTTAGTAGACATTAATGTTCAACAACATTCTGATAGGTTATTAGTGTCTAACTTTATTTTGATTGATTCCGTATTGGCTAGAAGTTACGATTTAAGAAGGATGTGTGAGTGTGCCAGGAGAGAGTACCCAAATTCACAACGACATTCCAAATTATCTTTTTGGTATTGTTTATTTCTTTTAAATTTGTAGATATTATCTAAGTTCTATCATTTTATTATTGATGTTTCAATGTTTTCACATTAGTGTCTTGACCTTTTCAAGTGTTTAGATTTTTACACAAATATTTTATATCGGTACTCGATTGTTGTATTCATGAATTATTTAATTGAAAAATTTAATCATTACATCAAAACGAATTGATGCTATTGAAATGAGAATAATTTATTATTTGATACAAGATAAAGATGAATGTCAAAGAGAAATATGCTTCAAGTATCAATATAGCAATGCTCATACTAACTTCATCAAAAGATAATAGTATATTATTACTAGTATGTTTGAAAACAATAATCAAATTATCAAATGACATTACAATCGTCTGCTCTTGTTTTTTTGTTTAAGTTTAACATATAGCTTTATCAGACACAAAAACAGAAAAGACCTTTTACTTGTTCTTCACCTCTTTTTTCACAAAAATAAAGTACTATTTTTTCAATAGAAAAACAATTAAATCGTACAGATACAATGAAAAACAAATGAATATCTATTCTGATCGATATTCATTCATTATAGGTTCCGTAGCTACGATACGAATCCAATTGCATGTCTCATGTTGTTTATAGTGAATCGTGGCAAAGAGTGGAGAAATTTGTCGTATATGATCTACTTCTGTAATTGTTTCATTTTTTCTGATCACAATATTGAATCGACATTGAAAATGTTCAAGACGAGGTGTACGTTTGGTGAACATGTAATATAAATCGAAAAAATCGATTGGCGATAAAGCATGTGTACAACGTACGGCCAGATGACTTAAGACGGGTGTAAACCAAAGTACTTGTTCAAGATCATTGATAACATGATAATATTCGTCTAGTACGATATTAAGATAATGTAAAGCCATGTGTTGAAATGATGTGGTGACGGCAATACGTGGAGTGAGATAAAATATAGTAGTAGTAAATTGACATAGAGCTGGTAACGTTTTCAATAAATCAGGCCAATGTTGCAATTCACCTGAAATATATTTGAAAAAAAAGACAATAGTTGTTCTAATTGAATTTCATCTTCTCGAATGAAGATATTCAATCAAAGAATAACTTACATGATCCAATAGATAGTGAATATAGATATTTGTTTTCAACAACATAATGTTCGAGACGAAGATCAGCACCATCTTGACGAACCGAACGAAGTTGTGTAAAACGATTTGATATAAGTAAACGATAGAAATCGTCGATATAATCATATTTCAATGGAGTTGCATATTTGATTGAAAGCATTCTCAGATCAGGTAAATGCTCTGGTTGAATGGCTCTAAAACATTTATCAGCATTATACGAAAATAATTTCTATACGTTAAAGACAACAGAAAGCTTCGTACACTATTTATCTACGAACTTTTCACAGAAATATCGTCGTTATTTGATTCGAATCTGAACTTATGAAATTCAGCCTAATTGAGAATAGAAATGTTTTATGTTTATCTCAAAGTAATATTTCGAAAAAAAATTTAATTTTTTCTTTTCTAACAATCCAGAAGATGTTGATGTACATGAATTAAACTGATTTTCGTTTTTGTACGATTTCACAAAATTCAAACAAAACTTGAGTCTTCTCTCTAGATATCTATTTATGATAGTTCGAAGGGAATTGAGATTTTCTTGAATCGATGGGAAAATATACATACCATTATAGTCAAATCGACTGATTAGAAAATCGGTCAAGATGTCAAACGGTCTCTAGACCAAGAATATGCTAAACAATTAGTAAAATTTTGGTAGCCTAAGAACACAAGCCTAAAAAAACAAACTATTCTAGACTTCTCTATTGCTCACTAACACTCATCGAATGAGCTTAGTTCTAGTTCAACAATGATTCGACACTTTGAGAGATTAATCAAAGTAGAAGAATAAAGTAGAGTATATTTTGCTGTCAATTACATAATGAAGTATTTTACTGTTGAAAAGAATTCGTCAATCGATAAATCGAATTTTGTTTGACGAAGGTTAACGAACTAACTCTTTTCTCAACTGATGAGTTTTAATCGAGTCATACTCGATATATCTTTATGATGATTCTATAAAAAGTATCACACAGGTGAAAATTACTTACATCAATTGAATGAATGTTGGTCTGAGAAAATAGAGCGATTGGAGACGTCGAAATTGTGTCAAATCAAGCTCTTGACACCAAAGAGCGATGTAAAGTGAGATGATTTGTGGAGCAAAATGTTGAATAGCAGTCATCAACAACTGATTACGATCTTCGGATACTTCGACTCTCGCACTTAGTCGTACTGATGCAAGAATCGAATTTAGTCGTTGATTAATATTACGAAAGCCATGATAGAGAGTCTGAACGGGAACATAAGCAAAAATGGTGAGAAAAAGCTCGTCTGGAAGATCTTCGAGATGAGTGATCGAACATAAAACTTCGTCATTCATTGCAATATAAATAATCTGAAATTCAAAAAAAAACAATTTTTCTCATCATATTGTTTTGAGATTATGTTCTATTCATAGTTTGATAAATACTGCTTGAACGAAAAATATTGGTATTGATCACTAGATCATTTTTACATGTTAGATCGTTTGTACTGATTAAACCTGTCTCGTTTATTTTTTTTTCTTATAACCGCCGATCGTTGATTCACGCTTATTGGTCAACTTATTGACGACTAATATTTTTAGCAACAGCTGTCGCTATAAGTAAACGATTCCATTTTTTTTTCATATCGTAGATATGAACACTGACTACTATTCTGATGTTTTGTCGAACTCGCTAATACTCAGAAATAAAATTTTTCTTAGTATGGTCGGTTCGATATATATTTGTATGCTCGATTAATTATCAGTTAAGTTCTGATTCATAAGTGTCTGATAAGTGTGAATATGGATGGCCTCTCACCCATACCCACATTCTAAGTTCTACACCGCTTTAGCAAACCATAATATTCAAATAATGACTGGTACAAAAAGAGTGAGTCGCTGTGAATTTCACAGGTATTTTATTTGATTTGTAACTGTTGAAATTTGAACAAATTTTTGAACGATACTCGATTTATTTTACTATAGAATCGGTGAAAAGTAAGTGAAATACAAAACTATATTCGTTGACTACATAAAAAGTCAAAAACATAATTTTTCTTCGAACTCATCTAAATCTTTACTAGATTACATTAAAAAGTTCAGTGAATGCATATGCATATTTCTTTTGTTTTCTATCATTTTGGTGTAAGCAAACTAAGTAGTTACACTCATCTTTCATGAATTCTACGATGGCTATGAGGGATAAATAATTTGTTGCGGAAAACTTGGATAACTATATCTTATGTAGTCTCGAATTTGATTAGCTACATACAGAAAAAAAAAGAATTGGATTTCGTCAAAGAAAGTCATCTGAAATTGCACTGCTCAGATTCACTTGCTATTTAATCGATATAATCCGATGTCTATTCTACTTTTTTAATAACCGAATAATAACTTGTGTATGTGAGTGTTAAAGAACAGAATACGTACACCCATACCAAACTATATCTCACACTTTTTTTCTTTTGTATGTGATAAGACATGATTTTTGTACAATTAGTATAGATGATCATTTTTATTAAATCAAAAACGACTTATTTATGTAGAATTTCTTCACTTTCGTTAAGAGCCAATTATTAATTTTCAAAATCTATGTATTTTATTTTTATTTGAATAATTTTTTTTATTCAAAGTGTCGAGTTATTACATTTCGAATAATATTTAAAGACTATATATACGTATAAATAAAACAGCCAAAACGTATTGTATAGTCATTCAAACATGCATTGGGGAACTATCAGTGTCGATGCTTTATTTGCTTCTTTATTCAGATTAAATGGTGTAAAATAAAAGAGAGAAATTATTAAAAAACAGTCTTGAAACAAAACAAACGTACATGTATTATTCTCTATGCCATATATGTATACGTACTACTTGCGAAGATGTAAAATAGAAATTTAAGATTTATCGCGATGTTTTCTTTCGTTTACCAATGGAACAGTGAAAAAATGAAGAAAAATCGTAACCAAAAGAGGATGACGTGCCCATTTCACCATTGTAGGATCAAAATAGTCTGCATCTATCCTTGGATAATGAGATATGTCTCATATATGGATGTTAAGAGACGACTTATACCCACACCCTCATGAAAAGCAGTGAACATTTAGTCGAGATGATGACCGAATGTCGATCTCCGAAACGATCGGCGTAATGAAAACGTGCCGCTTTGATTCAGATAGTCGAAGATAAAAGCAAGGCTTGAACAAGGTCATTAGCACAGAACGATGATTTGAAAAGGTCAAGTAATATATGAGGACTGCCGTCTGCTATCTTCACAATCAACATCTAGGGCATTGATGTGTCGATAATGACCCCACCATGAAATTCTTTGATGTAGGTAAGCAGTGGTGATTATCGCTTAAAACTGATCGTTGTGTATTGTTTTTTCTTATGATTTTCTCCGTTATATAATGCCAATCTACCAGTGGTTTGTTAGCCATTAGCATTATTCTGTCAACTAACTGACATATTGTTAAGTCATAAAAGATATCACCAACACACGCACATGGATTGCGCCGTCATGTAATTATCTTCACTATTTTGTTCTTGTTCTTCTCTTCCAACGACGACAAATAAAATCTAGAAGAGTGTCGAAGGAGAACAACAAAAATAAAAACATCGTACGTTTATTGGTATATTTCTTTTTGCAGTATCATTGTCAACACGCATTTCATTCTTCGCATAGACAAAATCATATATTTGTATTTAGATACTAACAATGTTTTCATTGATTGCTATTGCACCGGTTTCTTATATCCTATATCGGCTCTACAAACACTTCTTTCCAACGCCTAGCATTGATCCACGTGGCAAATATGTGTTGATCAGTGGCTGTGATACAGGTTTCGGATATAGCCTTGCCATCGAACTCGATAAGCAAGGCTTTCATGTTCTAGCTGGGGTGTATAACGTCAATAACAAAGAAACACTCGCCAATCAACTCTCCTCGCGCGCGACCGTTTTTTTGCTAGATATTACCCGTCAGGTAGACATCGACGCTGCTTTAGCTTTGGTGAAAAGCAAGACATCAAGTTTGCACGCCCTCGTGAACAATGCTGGCATCGCCGATGGTGGACTCATCGACTGGATCTCGCTCGAATCCATACGTCAAGTATTGGAAGTCAACTTTTTTGGTCATGTAGCTATGACCAAGGCATTCTTACCATTGTTACTCGTCGAACCGAATTCGCGTGTGGTGAACATGAGTTCGGCGGCAGGTTACCTGGCGGCGGCCGGAGCTTCAGCTTACAGTGCCTCAAAGTATGCACTTGAAGCATTTTCTGACTGTCTTCGCCGAGAAATGGTCATGTGGTCTTTGCACGTATCTATTATTGAGCCTGGTTTCATGCGTACACCGATTATTGAGGGAGTTGCGGAGAAAATGCGAGCTGCTTGGATCAATCGTACTGATGACGAAGCCAAGGCACGGTGGGGCGAGGCCTACTTTTCAGACTGGCTTGTCGAGGGAACAAAAATGGCGACACAAACTGCTGATAATCCAATGAAAGTAGTTAACGCAACGTGTCATGCAGTGTTGAGTTCGAAACCATGCATCCGTTACCGACCTGGTTGGCAGTCAAGCCTATTCTGCTTTCCTCTTTCGATGGCACCTGCCTGGCTTACCGATTTTCTCATTGGCTTAGGGCAACGCAAGATGGCTCTCCCAAGTGGTGTGCACAAGCGGATGGAGCATCGTAGTCTATAGTATAAGATATGGTTGACTCGTTGGTTACCAGTAGATTTACATGTACGTTTACTTTTCTCAAGTAATAGTCCATTGTGTCAATGATGCAAACAATAAATCTTCTAATACATCTCATTATTTTCAATGAGGGTGTGAATGTGGATGAATAGAAGATCTGTATACTCGACATCTCACACAATTCAAACCCTATCGTCCTCATCCCACACCGTTCTCGCACCTTGTATTGGTCTTTTAGATGTACACCAGCAATTGTACATTTTTCTATTTAAATAAGAAATACATATGCTATCCGGTTGTGGGCGTGTGTCGAGGATGCCATGATCTCGATTTCGATCTTGCTTAAAGATCTTCATCATCTCAGTTTTTTTGGAAAGAAATCATAAACAAAGTGTACAAGTCTATATAGTATTGCAAATCAAGTACAACAAAAGTGAGAATCAAGTAGAGAACTGATAGATATTTTCATCACAGAAGTGAGTGCGACTGTCAAACCAGGATGAGAAGCACTGTAACATTCCACCCATACCCACACCTTTTCTGCTAGAAATTCAATATCAATCACAGTTTGTTCAGCTTTTTTTATCAAAATATATTAATGCATTTATTCAGTCTTTCCTTCTCTCCACCGATGTGAGTCAATACTTATTAGACAACGATATCGTCTTAACTACCTTGATTTTACTATGTAACGAAAATAAATGTTAACAAAATGAAAGTGATGTTTCAATAGAAATTTCTATTTAATTATATTTGAATGTCATAGATAAAACGAAGAAATTTATTCAATATAAATGGGAAATTTTTGTGGTCTAATAATATCGAAACTTCCACCATGAAAAATCGGAATAAGTGTTGTTTGCAGTACATCTTTAACACGAGTTATTCTTAATATTTGTCTTTCTTGAAAATTGTTAATATTAAAACTAAATTCTTTTGGTGATGTGAATTTCTACACTTTGATGTAAACTTATCTTTGAAAACTGTGGATAATACAACAATTTTTGGAAATTGAATTAGAATATTTCTTCTCTGGGTCTCCTATTGATATTATTTTAAAATTTGTTGTTATTCATATAAATCTAAATCCTTGATAAACAACTTGTGTTAATCGTAGAGGAACTTCAGTATTTTTTTAAAGTAATTTTCTTGACATGGATAATTGCTTCCACTCTCAATTTCATATTTTACAATTGAATATTAATAGTCTTCATCTGGAGAAGAATCATTTGATAAGTAAAATAAACATAATTTTTTATTTCCTATGAACTTCCATTTAACAACCAATGTGATGGAAATACATTAAAATTATTTCCACCATATTTCCAATACGTTTCATACATACATGTATTCATTAGAGGATCTATTACTAACTCAACATAACAATTTGCTTGAGAAGAATCAGGAATTGAATATGAAACATTTTTCATAGCATATGGTGTTTGTGTTTTTGAACAATAAACAGGAATTGATTGATAAGCTCATTGATTTATTTCATCAATTGCAATTATTGTTTGACCATTATTAGGAGAAAATACAATTTGAGGCGGGAAATAAGGTTATGCACAGTCTCCAGAATAATACCATAAAATAAATTATATGAAATACAATAAGATCTTCATTACTTCAAATTTCCAAACAATTTTGTCGATTTATCAGAATATTTTTAGTTACATACGTTTTCTCGTCACACGCGAAAAACAAATCGTTGTGGAATGATGAGTTAGTAAAAAAAGCATTTTTCTTCGGCTTAACAAAATGACGAAGCTACAATAAAAATATTTAGTAATCTTCGACTAATGAATTTGAAATCAAAATTTTCTTCACAGCTTTCATAGAGATCTATTTCATTTTTCTTATATAGCCATGAAAGACCAAGTAGACACTCTGACATTAGCTTTAAAGTATTCAACAATCCATAAACGAATCATAATAATGAAAATAAATTATATTGTTTGTAGAAGCAACGATCTCAAAGTTCACCAAGCATGTGAATATTGATGTGAGTGTGGGTGTCATGGTGCGAAAAAAAGGTAAACCCACATGTACACTCAAACACCCACATCCTTCAAAGAAATAGATTGAAAACCTTTAAAAAAATCATGTCAAAAATAGGATATATTGTACGATTAGATGGATCTTCATTTCATTTTTTAACCGATGAAAGCAGCAGTTCTCTAGCTTATTTCTATCAGAAGTTATTCAAAACATATTCACTCTGCTTTTTTTTCTCAAATAGACATTAGCACAACCGTCACATATAACAGAAAAGTAGGCCTTATCGAAATTTCATATTATGAGGTGAGGTGAAGGATGATGTAATAGCAAAGAAAAATAGAACATCATTTTTACTATCATTTCACGTAGAGAAAATTTTTCTTTAAGCTTTCTATAAAGAACTAAAGTATCCGCTACTACTTTTGAATAGTTCTAAGTAAAAAAATGCGCATTGGATTTCCTTTAAAGGCTGGACTAAATACCTTAAACTAATTTAAAATATTATTTTTTTTTGATTGATGAATAGTTTTGCATCTCACTTGAACGCTTCCATCAGCAAGAGTAGTTATACATAAAATGTCAAAATTTATTAAGTTAGCATTATTATTCAAAATTACGGATCGCCCAAATTTATGATATCTTTGATAAGAATCGGGATGCTCACCTCACTATTTTTCGTTGATGATTATAAGTAAAATCGACAAAGATGCATACTTTGACAACATCATTGCCTTAGTGTTCCACTGAACGATAGTATCAGTGCCATCAGTGTAATCACAGTATCAGTGATACTGATGCCAGTATTTCAGTATTTACACTGACATTGCATATTCCTATATGTATATAATTAGAAGTTAAACATTATTATTTTCATATTGAGTTATAATTATTGTTTATTAAATTGTAAATTTTTTCTTTAAAATCGAACAAAATAAAGAAAAAATATTTTAGGAATGAAACTGTATCAAAATGTTAATGTTCGTTAATAAATATTTTTGTTTATATGAGTTTCAAATAATAATTCATAATGAGAAAGCACAACTGAGTAAAAGTATTAACACTATTTCAATAAAAATAGTTGAACTCATTAATATTGTACTTGTTCGCATAGCTGTTGATGATGGCATTGGAACACATCCGTAATAACGTTGAACTTCAAGAATATCACTTGGACCCATACCAATACGTTGTCCAAGTACTGCACTGGAATTTTTCGTAGCGATAATTGTCGGTAAACCATTTGAACTGAAAGCATTTGCTTGATAATGCATAACAGATCCATAATCATATGGTATCATTAGTGTGTCAATATCTTCCCAGGTATATTTCTGAAAATTGAACTCAGTACCTAATTTAAAATCATTCGTCATTCAAACATATATTATTATTATCAAAATAGTATAAGTTACCGTTTATAATATTTTCCCATTGAATTGAAACATATTCATCACGGTCAGGACGAGATTGTTCATGAAAAAAACCTTATATTGAAAAAGAAAAACGAACATTTATCAACTTAAATTTAGTTACTATTAAATACCTAATACATGAAGAAGTTCATGTTGAATAATTCCAGTTCTCATACAAGTACCATTTGATGTATGCATTAAAGTAACAGTACGATTCAGTTCATAGCCTTGAAGGTATCCAACCTTAAATTAAAAACAAATATATATTGATTAGATGTGTTTTAAATATTTGTTGTATACGTGAGCTGAACAGCCAGTTCCATTTCTTATTGTTATAAAAATTTCGTCTAAATCAGTTTTTGGACGAAATGTAATGCATGACCTACTGCCTACTCGTGTTAGATTTTCCATACGTCGCATAGCATCAACAATTAATAGTGAATGATTGAGAGCTAAAATTAACTAATTTCTTGAGATGAAAAGAAAATTCATGTAATTCTAACAAATAGATGGTGTCATATCATAAGGTATTATTCCACTAGGCCATCGTTGCCATAATGGTCTGTGAGGAGCTCCACGCTTTATATAAGATGAAATTAATATGTATTATCAATGCATAAAAATTCTTACTAATATCTCATCAGGCAAAATCATATCACCTTGATAATAACCTCCTAAAAATAAAACAGAAATATGATTCAATAAAATTTTCATACAATTATGTTGACCTATATATTCTGGGTTGAATTCTGCTGATGGTTGAGAATTTTCCTTGAAAGAAATTTATTGAACATTAGCTACTTAGGGCAATCCAAAAGTAATGAGCCAGATACCTTATTTTGGTTTAGAAAGCTTGACGAAATTTTATTTTTTTATGAGATGATAGAGCAAGTAAAGTTCTTTTATCCTATGCTATTTGATCACTCTTCAACTAATATCATAATAATAAAATTTCGATAAGAACTGATTTTGTATAAAACTTCACTAACGGGTGAGGCAGATGAATACGCTTTGCATTTCAATTTTCAATCACTTAATACATTTTATTAAAAAACAAAATATACCACAAGATGCAGCGTGAAAAGCTCTACAATTCTTAAAGAACAGTTTATTTTATATATGAAAATAAGAAAAAAATGATTTTTTTCAGGTCAGCGAAAATTGATTGTACAGATGATTTTTGGTTTTTTTTTGAAAACAACAAGTACAAAATTAAAATAAGCTTTCCTTTGTAGATTGTAGAGCTTTTCACGCTGGATCTTGTAGTATATTTTGTTTTTTAATACAATGTATTAAGTGATTGAAACATTTAATTTTTGTCACTCGTTAGTGAAGTTTTACACAAAAACAATTCTTACCAAAATTTTTTTATTATGATATTAGTTCAAGAGTGATCAAATAGCATTGGAAAATAGAGCTTCATTTACTGTATCATCTCATAAGAAAGAAAATTTCTTCAAGCCTTCTAAATGAAAATAAGGTATCTGGTTCACTACTTTTCGATTGCCCTAAGTATTAGGAAAAATTGAATATCGATAATACTTACCAATGTTGATATTTCTTCATCGAAATTTATGTTTTCATTCGATACATCATCATAATTCTTGATTGAAAAGTAATTTTAAAAAATCATACAATTAAATAATGTACCTACCGTTGGTAATGCTAGTGCAATATGAAAAGTGTTTGTGTAGATAATGAATGCTATACTGATAGAAAAAAGAAGTTGCATGTCTAACAACTATTGTGAACAACAGCAATGCCAAATTTTATATGCTCTGATGAAATTTCTAAAATAACTAGACCTGTTTGTAAAACATGAAAGATTTCTGGATCATTTATCTATGGTTCACACGTTTGTAATCAACGATTGTCTTCAATGCAGTACAGCTTTATATGATTACTGTCAACGAGCATCGTGAGAGTCTATCGTATTATTCTCGTACATTGTTCTGTCAGTAGCACCATATCTTCATAGTATTATTTATATATATATATTATACCTTATTATAAATTATGTCTCTTATCTTTTCCATCTTCAATTATCCCCGTCTGGTCTTCTTTATCATTATCTTTAAGTAATTGGATAGCAGTGTATTTGTAGGAAGGTGTGAGGTGTGGATATGGGTGCGTAATATAACTCTTTTCATAACCCATACGCACATGCACACCCACACTCCAATTTTGAATTCATGGAACCAGCTATTTACATTCAATAAAAGAAATTATCAAAGAAAATTTGGAACAAGCCCACATATAGAGATGTAATGGCGACGATGGTCCACCAGTTCATCACCCATTGGTACACAGTGCATTGAGTGTACGCATCTGACCATACGACAGTGGTTCTTACTAGCGATGCACCAATTCCAATTTTGACCTAGTCAGAACTACAATGGTTTACAGGTGGGAAGTTACTGTTAGACACACAATCACCTCACCAGTTACTTGGAACCGAAAGTTTTATGGATTTGACTTTTTCATCTAAGCAAGCCTATCATACGAAACTAGGGTTTACCTATAAAGTTTGAGCACAGGTTCTCAAGATAGCGATAACTTGACCGAGAAATTAATTATAGATAGGGACTCTCAAAATCCCTAAATATCTTGAGTCAGAATTTATAAAGAACAGTTATTGTCCTGTAAAAGCTTTGTATCGAGGAAAGAATCTAATGGAGAAGTTTTCCTTTACTCACTAGCAGGTAATGTCACTATTTGTGTAACGATAACTTCCAGTCTCTAATCGATTCCGTTTACGACTAAATCAAATTTCAATCCGTCCAACTCCAATTTTCACTAGCTCCGCTCAATTCCTAGTCAAGAAGCGGAGAGGGAGTTAGTGGATCTCTAGCTACTAGGATTCATCAACGATTTTCTAAAACTATAGCATTTGTTGGGTATGCAATAGTAAGTTCGATGATTACAGCAATACATGCGTGCAGAATACAATGGAGACTACTATTTTCGTAAAGCTAGCAGCTTCTAGTGTAAATGTATAGAAAAATGAAGAAAACCCTGTCACAAATGTGCAGAGATGCTCATTAAAGCCTCACCATTCAGATTGAGTTAGCCAATGAACACATGAGAAAAATACACTAATGATCAGTTTTTTTCGTCATTCAAAAGCATATCTATTAGAAGAAATCAACAGTGCCTGAAAAACGATCGTTACTGTAGGTTTTTTGCATGTTCTCACTGATCTCACTGTTAGTCATACCATTGTATTGCTAACGAAAAGGATGTCCCATCTACGATAGAATGCTTTAACTAAAGAGACAGTTTCCACTGCCACCGTTACGACGGCTGAAGTTAGTGAATACATCAGGGATATAGGGTGATGACCAATATCTTTCATTGCTCTGATATCTTTTTTACTGAGAGAAGCCAGTGATGTCTATTCACTAGCTGTCATTGTAGGTTTTTCATGCTCTGATCCGTTTTACTGTTAGTCGTCCCATCGTATATCTACCTTTGCAAGTGCATAACCCTGAAAGTCTCATCTTATCGATGGACTATTACAGTGATCGATTGAGAGATGATATTTCGTGGGAAAACAACTTGTAGTCGTGAATAGTTCTCCAAAGAGTTTTACAGGAATCAACTCATTAGGTTAAAAACCAATGCAAAAGGTATTTAGTTGCTAGAGAAAACTAGCAAAACATAACTGGTTAAACGAATAGGTAGGAAACATCAGTAGACAGTGCAGTTAGGGAAAGTGGGCTATGTTACCAATTCACACGATAGCGAGAAAAGAAACTTTGCTAACATTGTCTTTCCGATGAATGAAAGTTTAGTGTGTGATAAGAACACTTTGACACAATATTAGATAAAAGGTTGTCAAGCCTGTGCAATCCAAATCAATGGCAGATTCGACAAAAAAGAGTAGAATTACACGATTTGAAGAAACCCATCATAAATTCGGATTGCTTAATCCTAAATCACTTTTTTACGAGCAGATTGTATGCTATTCTCGCGACAATCGACAAAAACTTAAGGATTTTATGAAAAACATATCATTGAGCTTTGATCGATTTTCGCATGAGTATTGATAAAATACATTATAGAGGGACGTTGTGTCACATATAAAGGATGACAAGAAAAGTGCATTATTGTTCTATACACTTACCAACAACGAAATAAAAGGAATCTGTATACAGACGAAAACAACGATATATATACTCAGTATTTCACAGTACGCGACCGCACTTTGACGTATTACATGACTCGATATCAGCATCGTATTTCTGCACATTGTATACGGAGAAATATGATCGATTATAGCAAAATACGGTGTAAAAAGGATACTGTATACGATCTCATTAAATGAATGTGTTTATGTCTGTCAGTGATCATGTTTCTCAATACATGATACGGAGAAATTCGATTGTGTTTGATTGGCCTGGATGAACAGATTGTGTACGATCCAAGTCGGAAGATTAGAATAGCAAAAAGGATGGAAATGTAGAAAATAAAGAATCGCATTTATCTAACGGGTGAGGTAAATTAAATTGCTGATTGTTTTTTTATAAATAATAATGATATTGTACGATCGCGCTTTTTTAAGCGCTATCTATTCATATATACTTCATCTGTTATAGATTATTCTTTTTTGGATAGAGACTATCAAACCAAAAATCATTGCAAAATGTAGTTATACTCAAGTTATATGTTGTGGGTAAAAAGTAAACTCATACCCATACCCACACTCACACCCAGCCAGTTGAGAAACTGCAGATAAAGCTGAAAGGATTTGAACAAAACGAACAATTCAGAATAAATGATAGTATGACTTAATAGTTGCTGTACAGAACTGACGAAACCGGTTATTTTTGAGCTATATGAAACACTTCAGGAAGACAATTATGTTAACGATGCCTTGTCGATGACTGTGCCAATACGAAAGTAGTTGATCGTTAAAGTTAAAAATTATCGATCATTGGTTGATGAAATTACAAGAGCCATAAAATTCGTATCAAAAGATTACCTGACGAGCAATGTCTATTCTTGGTCACGTCGCATGCTTGTAATTTTAAAACTAAGGAAGCTGATGTACAATGGTTCTTCTTTGTAAAGTGAGATGTGGGTATAGTTGTGGTTGTGGATTTAGCTACTCATCTCATTCACGTCCACATTCATACTCACCACACTCGCTCTGACTCACACGCATACGCACACACACACCCTCTCATTCCTAAGAAGATATACAAGATATTCGAAGTACAATACATTAAGAAATATTTTTCAGTTTATCTTTAATAAATATTGAACATAACTTTGGTATTGATTCACATACTATTATAAATGATTTTGTATTGAAAAACAACAAAAGAAAACAAAAAGTATTATGAAAATATAAATTGCCTATATGTAGGTTTTCAAATAGAAAACTTAATTATTATTCTTGGTTAAAAAACTTCATTGCTTTCTCTAGAAACTTAAGCTTGCGCTGCCGATGTCAATTGTTTTTAATGAACAATAATCAAAGAAATTGAATCTGAGATCAACAACGATGTCGCGCTAAACTATAGAAAAAAGCATTTACTTCGAATTATTTAATACTTTTTTTCAAATATCGAGTAAATCAATACAGATTTTTGATTGCATGTTCGAAAAATAACGCTGTAAATGAATCATTGCAAATATTTCTCAAGAAAAAATAGAAAGAAAAAGAAAATGTATAAGAATCGACACTTACTCTATGGTAGCTATCATATTTACAAAACACATGTATCGTCTTGTTTTCTGTTTTTTATATAGGAAATTATTCACGAAAACCTAATACAACAAGATGACGAAAAATCCTCATTATTTCTTTATCCACATTAATTCTGTGCTATTGAAAATACTTATTCAATTATTTAAAAATACGAATTTTTTTTAGATGAAATACTTTTTTTCAACAAATATGCTTCAAGTAAAACGACAGCTGAATAATAATGAATTCTCCGAAAAAGAAGCAGAAAAGTTTCGAAGTAAGTTCTACATATTGTCATCATTCTATAATACATTTTTATTTATGTTTATTTCAATAGCAACGTACAATGACAAGTAGGAAGAACGAAAAATAAATTTTAACTTTACTTTATTTTTCTTTACTTTCGTAGAAAAATACTTAACTGTATTGAAAATTTACCCAATGAAATTTCCTATGAAATTTTCGTTTCCTGGATGCTTATGAAATATATAAAGCATTTTCAAATCTTAATAATCGTTTTCAAGCTCTTATCACTTGTTCATCTCTTCAGTTAAAAATTGATCTTCGTTTTCGTCCGAACTCTACTCTAGAATACTGTTCGACATGCGTTGTCCCTCTGAACAAACATCGAATTATTTCACTCAATTGGCCTTTTAGTTATGATTGTAATCTAGGCCATACGTTGTTCAATATCGACTCATCATTTAGTCGACTTGAGAGTTTGACATTACATCGTATCAGATCAAATGATCTCATATCTCTTCTCATCAATTTGATTTCTTTACCACGTCTATTCTTATTGACAATCAATTATGATCATGATCCCGAAGAGATCAGTAACATATATTAAGCAATTTTCAATTTATCTTTGTTAAAATACTGTAAATTATCATTTTTTACCTTTGAAACGTTAATTCCTATATCAATAAGAATTAACAAACAGTATTCTATTATTAAATATTTGACAATTAATCATTATTTGAGTCTCGATGAATTAATCGCAATACTTTCATGTACTCCTCAACTGTGTCGATTGA